GGGAGGGGGCTCATCAACAGGGAGGTGGGAGGGGGCGCAGATGCGCCCAGGTCCGTGTGAAACGGAGTAGAGATGCACCGGGCAGGCTGGCCGGCCCCAAAAGGGGTCCAATTCCTTAGCGCAGCCTCACTCGTTATTCTACTCGACAAGCAAATGCATTTAACACGCAGGCGGGCTGGCTGCTGACGTAGAAGCATCGTCTGCGTGCCACAAATCGTCTCGGTGATCGTCCTTAATCGATCACCAATACAATTTTTTGCCCTAGGCAGCTGGCTCAGTGAACAGAGCGTCGGCCTGTGGACCAAAGGGTCCCGGGTTCGATTCCGGTCAAGGGAATGTACCTCGGTCGCAGGCTCCTCCCCAGCCTGGGCCCCGGTCAGGGCGCGTGCAGGAGGCAACCAACCAACATGACATCGATGTTTCTCCCTGTCTCTCTCTCTTCCACTCTCTCTGAAAACCAGTGGGAAAACATCCTCAGTGAGGATTCGCACATAAAAATAATAGCAACAGTAATAATACCCATGACCGTTTTTTGTGCATCTGGTTATACTGACACATCACTGCAACTTGTAAAGGAAAAACAGAAGTGGTGTTGCGTGTGCGTCCACGTGTAGTTACTCAGGTGAGCACGTTCTTGTATCCGTCCCAATAGCGTGTGCTCCCTCCTCGGGCCTCGATGGCTGACCTGCGAGCAGGGGTCTGCACAGCGCTGTCCTGGGACCGCGTTCTCGGTTAGTGCGCCGCGCTGCGGGGCAGGCTGGTTAAGGCGGCCCACCGGGCGCCCGTGGGGCGCAGGGCGGCAAGGACAAGCAAGCTCGACGCCAGAGGCCTCGCTGCTCGTAGCAAACACTCAGAGCAGGTTCCCGGGACCAGGGAACACGAGAGCCACGGTCTGACTTGAAGCTCACACGCTTTCATCAGGAAAATGCTCGCAAGACAGTCAGCACGCTCAGCCGCACAGCGTCGCGTGGAGCGATCCCCCTCCTCTGCCGGGTGTGGCACGAGCATGCAGGCGGCACGAAGGCCGACGAGGAGGCGCTGGCAACGCCGTGGAACGTAGGCCAGCAGCACAGTCACCACGGAAAGGACAGGAGCAGGCGGGGACCCAGCTCGTCTGACCCGACAGACACTGTGCTCACGGAGTCAGATGGCAGCGAGGAGGCAGCTGATGGGGCAGAAGCAGCATCGAGCGAGAGGCCAGCGCATGCTCCGCGGGGAAGGCAGACGGAAAGCCCCGCCCAGGGTCACATGCAGGGAGCCACCGAGCCCCGAGGCGGGCACCACACCGCTTCTGTGCACCCACACGCGGGCGCCTGGCCCGGGCACCGCGACGCCCGCCGTCTGTTCACGTCTCGTTAAAAAGGGAACGTGGAGTCAACGTGCAGAGCACAATGGAGTTTAAAATGAGAAAAGCACACTACTTTGCGTACTACCACGTGACTTCCACGCCTTAAGGGACTCGGGGATGGGGGGCGACTTTCCACGTCGACTCCGTGGCCCACGGAGAGCGTGAGGTCCCCTGGGGGGCGGGAGACACGTCACGTGACCGTGCGCGTGCGCGTGGGGCCTCGCTGCACGTGACTCTCCCAGGCCATGGCTTCTATCCTGGGGGAGGGTCGTGGACATTCTCCAAGTCTTTCTGCAAAGACGCGAGGGGCGGTTTCTGAGGACAGAAGCGTGTTGACGCCATAGCACCCCACCAGGAAGGGGGACCACGCCCAGGGCACCCAGTCGAGGCGGGAGCAGGCGGTATGTACCTGGCAGGACTGTCAACCATGCAGAGTGAAAGGAGATGCCGATAGAGTTACCCGCCAAGCACGTGTACTCCCCCGCATCCTCAAAAGTTACATTCCGAATATAGAGCACCTCAATCTCCTTGTCCGTGGTGTTAACCCCGGCGGCCTAGAAGACAGGGGAGCGAGAGAGAAGGTAGACGACACAGGAACGAGGTGGAGGGGCCTGGGCCCGGAGGCGGCGCGCGGGGCCCGGGGGGGGGCCGGCCGCGCAGGATCCGGCTGCAGCCCGTCCACAGAGCCCACGACCAGAGACACAGCGACAGGAGGGCTCACCGCGCAGCCCGTCACCACACCAGCGTCACCACCGGAGGCGCCTGCAGACACATGGACACAGCAGCCCACGGGCCGCGCTCGGGGCTCGTCTTCGCTTGGGAGCTGGGGGAGGGGCCCCCACACGTGTGCACCCCGCGTCCACGTGGGGCTTCCTTCTGTGGGCTGCGGGCTCCCGCCTCGAGGAGAGGGTGGGCCTGTCTCGATGGCTGGGGTGCAGAGCGGAACTCCACAGGCACGTCCTTCCGGCCCCCGGGGACCAGCCAGGGGGTCACCTGGCTGCCAGGCTGGGGTCACTGGGACGCGAGTCCACCACCTTGACGTCCACAGCGTGGAAACGAAATGGAAGGAAAAGCTCGATCTTGCCAGCAAAAGAACTGGGCTTTTTTGCTCCCTTTTTAAACTAAGCATTTGAATGTGAGTCATGGCGACGACAGAAGCCACCTGCTGCCTTCAGTAGCTCCCAGGACGTTCACTCAGGGGGCTGCCTCCAGTCGGGGACAGCAAGGTCCAGGGCACCGAGGTCAGGACACCGAGGTCAAGGACACTGAGGTCAGGACAAGGTCAGGACAACAAGGTCCAGGACACCGAGGTCAGGATACCGAGGTCAGGACAATAAAGTCCAGGACACTGAGGTCAGGGCAATAATGTCAAGGACACCGAGGTCAGGACACCAAGGTCCAGGGCACCGAGGTCAGGACAAGGTCAGGACAACAAGGTCAGGATACCGAGGTCAGGATAGTAAGTTCAAGGACACCGAGGTCAGGACAAGGTCAGGACAACAAGGTCCAGGGCACCGAGGTCAGGACACCAAGGTCAGGACACTGAGGTCAGGGCAATAAGGTCAAGGACACCGAGGTCAGGACAAGGTCAGGACAACAAGGTCAAGGACACCGAGGTCAGGACAAGGTCAGGACAATATGGTCAAGGACACTGAGGTCAGGACAACAAGGTCCAGGACACCGAGGTCAGGACACCGAGGTCCAGGGCACCGAGGTCAGAAGAAGGTCAGGGCAATAAGGTCAAGGACACCGAGGTCAGGGCAATAAGGTCCAGGACACCGAGGTCAGGATACCGAGGTCAAGGACACCGAGGTCAGGACAACAAGGTCCAGGACACCGAGGTCGGGACACTGAGGTCAAGGGCAGCATCTCACAGGATCAGTTATACAACCAAGGAAACGATGCCGGTCGGACAGACGACACCGTGCCCGTGTTTCTCTAGAAATCGGGGGCCGGAGGAGGTGTGACTGCAGTGGATCCGCGATGCCACGCCATCAATGGGCACCCAGGTATGCGTTTCAAACGGCGTTTACGTGCCGCGATGACGGGGTCTGTGCAGCCCAAACACGATGCCCCAGAAGGAACGAACGACTTAAACACTGGGGTCGGGGGGGGGGCCTTCGGAAGGAACCAGAGCGGCCGCTGCGAGCACCGTGGGCGCGGTCCATGGCTGCCGGCACCCGCCAGCCGCGTCACCCAAGAAAGATGGTTACGAACATCCCGAGGCCACAGAGGATCCTAGAAGCTGCCTGCCGGCTCCCAAAGCACCAAGTCCTTTCAGCGTCTACATCCGCCTTCTCAAAACACAAAAAAATAAAAGAAGGAAAACCGGAGACTTCGTTACCTTGCTGCTTGGGCAGGACCGTGAGCCAGGCGGACTGGTTGGCCTGCCCTATGTAATTGGAGACCTTACACACATACTCCCCCGCGTCCGCCTCCGTCACATTGAACAGAGCCAGCACCTCCGCATTGGAGCTATTTATGCCCGAGTGCTGGAACAGACAGAGAACAGCGTCGCTCGGGACCGCGTCCGCACCCGCCCGGCCACAGCCTCCGGCCTCCGGGGAACACCCCGTCCACGGGGGGCGATGGAGAGGGGCCGCTGTAGAGGGCGACGCCCGGCGGGCCCCCGCTTCCCAGCTCTCTGACCCTGAGTGGTCTCCACTGGAGAGAGCACCCGAGGGTGCCATTCTCGGGGGAACCCGCTGTGGCCTTGTCGGCGAGCAGCTCCGTGTGGGAGAGAACGGGGAGCCAGGCTTAGGGCGCCGCCCGCCCCGACAGCAGGAGGATCGACAGCATGGAGAGGCCGATGCGGCCGTGGGGACTGCGGGGAGCAGCCAGAAGCGCAGGGAGAAAGGGTCCCACATTTCATGGGCACAGAACCGGCTTCTACGGTTCGCGGTCTGCCCGCCTGGTGTGGCTCGGCGGATGGCGCGTTGGCCTGCGGACTGAAGGGTCCCGGGTTCGGTTCCAGTCCAGGGCACAGGCCCGGGGTTGGGGGCTTGATCCCCAGTGTGGGGCGTGCAGGAGGCAGCCGATCCATGATTCTCTCTCATCGTTGATGTTTCTCTCTCTCCCCCTCTCCCTTCCTCTCTGAAATCAATAAAAAAATATATATTTTAAAAAAATAATAAAATATAAAGTTTACTGTCTAAACCGCATGTGAATTAATTTCCACGGCAAAGGGGTTTCTCTAAGAAGGAGGATCTAAATGGTCTCTAAAAGGTGGCTGCGAACACTGGACCCTAATGTCACACGAAAAGAAAACATCAGCGTAACAGTAACATCGGTCCCACCCCCGGGGGTTAAAAAGCTCTTCCTGGCGACCGCTCCCCGCACCCCCCCCAACTACTCGGTGCAGCCGCCCCGCACGGGGATGAGCTCGGGGTCCCTACCCTCACAGACGGGCAGCTGAGCCGAACCGTCTCCCCAAAGACCTCCGGCCAATAAATGACTGACCTTCTCTGACTCCCACTCCAGGGGTCCCCCCGCCCCCAAGTCCCTCTGGTTTTGACTAGGGAGCTAATTCCCCAACACCCTCTGTGCTGGCCCGATAGGTGAATCATCCCCCAAACTCAACAGGAAATCCCAGCACCGTGGCCGGACCCGTGGGGCCCGTGGGGCGGCTCCGGCCCCAGCGCGTCCTCACCTTCAGCACCTTGAGGTAGGGCAGCCCGTCGGGCCCGTACTTGCTGCCGTTCTTCTCCACGTGTTTGATCCACTGGATGTGGGGCTGGGCATCGCTGTACACTTTGCACACAAACTCCACGTCGCCGCCGACCACCGTGGAGGCGTTGGCGGGCAGCCCGGCCTGGAGGATGGGCCGGTGCGGGGATCGCTCTGAGGGGGGGGGACGAGAGGGGAGAGACGGGTAAGTGAGTTGTGCTGCCCAGGAGGCTGCCTGTGAACTGGAGCCAAAAAGGTCTCAATCTGCTGGCTGAGTCCCTGGAAATCACACGGCCGCCCAACCCTGAACAAAAGGGGCTTCACAGGGCGCGGCGAGAGGGCGGCCCTCGTGCAAAGGAGACGCGCTCGGAACGCGGAGAAAAGAACTTGTTCGGTTGAAGGCTGTTGCTGTCCGCGGCCACCCAGGGAACAAGGGGCCGCGTTTACCGTGACGACGAGAGGCGCCCGGCCAGGGCGCAGGGACCCGTCCCCCATCCCACGGGGGCAACGCCGGACGTGCACCTCGACCGTGAGCCCGACATCACGGGCAGGTGGCCCGCGCTCCCGTCACCCCGACTCTGAAATGGCCCCAGACACGGGGTCGCCCCACACATCCCCAGACGCTCTGAGAAGACCTTCCTCGCTTGTTTTTAAAGAAAACAAACAAAAAGCTGGAGCCCAAAGTTACGGCCGCACTGAAGGCACGAACGGTGTTCCCTCTTGGCGCTGGATCGTCCTCCATTCGTGCACTTTTATTCCTCCAGTCGCTTCCTGGACAAACATGAGGTGCTGCTGTGTCCAAGGATCGATGCACAGTAAGTGCGAGATGGCGAACCTATGACACGTGTGTGACAGGTGACACGCGAACCCATTGTTTTGGTTGATTTTTCTTTGTTAAATGGCATTTAAATATATAAAATAAATATCAAAAATATAAGTCTGTGTTTTACTGTGGTTGCAAATATCAAAAAATGTCTATATGTGACACGGCACCAGAGTTAAGTTAGGGTTTTTCAAAATGCTGACACGCCGAGCTCAGAAGGTTCGCCATCACTAGCCTACGCCCCGGCTTCCTCAGAGGCGGCACCGGAAAACCACACACCGTGAAGAGACACCAGCTCCAAGGCCGGGCAGGGCGTACACTGTCTTTCTTATTTATTTTCTTGTAAAAATATATTTTTATCGATTTCAGAGAGAGGAAGGGAGAGGGAGAGAGAGAGAATCATCAGTGATGAGAGAGAATCACAGGTCGGCCGCCTCCCGCACGCCCCCCAATGGGGACCGAGCCCACAACCCGGACCTGTGCCCTGACCGGGAACTGAACCATGACCTCCTGGTTCCTAGGTCGATGCTCGACCCCTGAGCCACGCGGCCGGGCTAGACTGTCTTAAAAGAGGCCCCATCCAGGGTGTGCTGGCAACCGCTCCCCCCTCCCTTGCCTCACGTCTCTAGGGAAAAGGTTACCAACAGAGGACACCCCTCCTGTCTCGGGCCTGGAGAGCCCCTCCCCACTCAGAGGTGGGTGAGCGTCTGAACACAAGGGTCCCCAAGAAGCTGTGACAGACCCGCCCGCTGGGTGTCCTGGCCACGGGCACTGGGGATGACAAACCCCTGGACCTCCCTCCGTGGCACCCGAGTCGAGAGCCGCCACACACCCAGCCCCACTGTCTGCAGGTACTGCCCTCCCCCCCCCCACCTGCAGAGACCAGCCTCCCCTGCCTCCCTCCCCCCTGTCTCTAACCGCCACTCAAACAGCTGCCGCGGGACAGGAGATCCGCCCAGGGTCTCCCCAGGCATCTGGGCCCTGGGCCCGGCTGGGAGCAGACATTAGAACGACAGAGATCTGAGCCTCTCCCTCTGAGCCGTTCTGATTAAAATGTCATTGAGGGGAGGCTGTTGGACAAGAGCAAGTTGATTTGACTGCCTAAGCCTGTTGCTGGTGTTTAAAAACTTTTTAAAAACCCGGCCAGTGTGGCTCAGCGGTTGAGGGTCGACCCAGAAACCAGGAGGTCGCTGGCTCGATTCCCGGTCGGGGCACAGGCCCGGGTTGCAGGATTGGTGCCCAGTGTGGGGCGTGCAGGAGGCAGCGGTCCATGATGTTTCTCTCTCATAGATGTTTCTATCTCTCTAGCCCTCTCCCTTCCTCTCTCTCTAAAATAATCCATAAAAACATATTTAAAAACAAGTAAATAAAAACCTTAAAAAAAAAGCAAGTGCACGAGAGGTTCCTCTCAGCACACACGTGCCAGGACCTGCCAGCACGTCTCAGGCACCTGCCCGCTCTTCCCCGTGGAAACAGGCTGCTGAGCCCCCCAAGAAGTCGCTCATTTGCCCCAATATCATCCCCCAGACAGGCTGCGCCGAGGACCCAGAAGACGAGGCTCCTAAACTGGGGGGGCAGCAGGTTACAAAGCTGGGAGCCCCTCCAGCACCCACAGACACCCTCCCGCTCTGGCCAACAGCGTCGGAGGAGGTGACCGGTGGTGGTGGTGAGCCTCCCAGGCAGGCCTGGCAGCAGCTGACCCCACGGGGACCCGCTCACGGCGGGCGGGGGCGGAGGTCGGGGAACCCCGGCCCAGCCCTGCCCCAGAGCTACGTCCACGCACGCCCACCTCTGGGCTGGAGACCGCCAGCCGAGCGTAAGCCCGCCTCCTCGCACCTGTCACCTGTGGGGCGGTGCCTTCCCTCCCACCGAGACGGCGCGCGAGGCCCCGCTCACGCCGGGGCTCGGTTTCCACCTCTGCGCCCCTGTTTGGGTGTTTGAGGGTCAATATTTACCGCGGCCCCAAACATTGGTGCTGGGACACAAAGGAACTAAAGCCTTACACGTCCCGTCAGCCAGGTCAGCGGAACCTCCACCACCTCGTCTCCCTTACACACGCTTTTCCTCATAAATCTTTTCACAAGCAAACATTGTGCGCGGCGCCCCGGCCCCGGGCCGGGAACAATGGGCGCTTTCATGGGCCCGGCACCCCCGGCCGCGCCAGGCCGCGCGGGCGCTGACTCACCGGGCAGCCGGCAGGGCCTGCGCCAGGCCCCGGTGCTGTTGGCTGTGGTCTGCGGGCCGCGGGCTCCGCGATGAAGTTCTGCTCTCCCGACTGTTTCTTTAAAACACACCCGCGTCAGGTCGGGCTGCTCTCGCTCAGGACAGCGTGCCCGCCGCTCACTCGCGCCCGTGCAGCCTTCCCACTCCCCTCGCCTTCTGCAAACACCCCCCGCCAGCCCTTTCTCACTTCGGGCCCAGAGACGTGAGCGACCCTCTGTAACGGGAACCTCGCCCGCTCCCAGCCCCTGACAGCTGCCCTCGGGGAAACGAAACCCGGAGAATGTCGCCCGGAATGTTTTCAAACAGCCAGGAGGCCTCAGGTTTCGTTTCTCCACATCAGGCTTTGATTTCCGTTGCAACCGCGCTCTCTGCCCCGAACGTCTTGGACAAGGTCCCGGGTGCCAGCATCTGCATGGGGAGGGCGCCCCCCTCCTCCTCCCCCACAACCCCCCGTGCCCCCCGCCCGGAGCCATCAGACCCTCCACCGGCGATCACTCCCAGGGGATGACAGCGACGGGCTCCCGTTCTAACTTCCGAAAAACCGGGGTGAACGCCGGGAGCAGCCGGCGGCTGGGGGAGCGGCCGGGCAGCAGGTCCCGCGGACACGAGCAGGGCAGGCGGCCCCACAGCTGGGCCCGGGGGGGAGCACAGGGCAGGGACGGGGGCACTGAGGTCCTCCAGCAGCTCAGGTGCCCCCCAGGACCCCACAAGGCCCTGAGCAGGACAGACCCCTCTGTCTGCAATGCTGTGGGGCAGCCGATAGAAAGACTGGTCAGTGGCTCTGGCCGGTGTGGCTCAGTGGATAGAGCAGCGGCCCTCGGACTGAAGGGTCCCGGGTTTGATTTCCGTCAAGGGCTCGTGCCTCGGTTGCAGGTTCCCCGGCCCTGGTCAGGGTGCTTGCAGGAGGCAACCAATCGAGTGTCTCTCTCACATCGATGTTTCTCTCTCTGTCCCTCTCCCGTCTACTCTCTCTAAAAATCAATGGAAAAATATCCTGGGATGAGGATTAACAACAACAAAAAGAAAGAAAGGAAGGAAGGAAGATTGCTCAGGGAGTTCTCTCTGGACGAGCGGATAAGCCACAGCTCGCTCACCTCTCGTTCCTCTCCTGACCGTCTCCACCAGGACTTACGGGGTTAGGCGAGGCCCCGCTCCGCGTGCTCGCCGCTCAGATGTTACGGAAAACGGGTTTCCTCCCTACAGGGCGCCAGGTGAGTATGCGGCCGACAGACGGGCCGACGGGCGCCTCCCCTGTGTCTCTACTGTGGTTATTGAAATAGGAAGATTCTGGGCTCTGCGGGGTCAGATGCGGGGCCGTGGCCCGAGGGGGTGGGAGCAGAGGTTCGAGGCCCCGTGTGAATTCCAGAGGCGGCGGGAAAGCAGCCGGAGGGCGCGGCCGCGACGGG